CCTAACCGCTCCGTTGATGTACGGATTTTTACGAACAATGCCATAAATTTCAAAAACCGGCCAACGAACTTCCTCCACTTGTTTCGCTATAAGCATCAATGTACCTAACGTTATGTGTAGAGAGTTCGAAGGGGCATTGAGGACAAAAAACAGCGGTCAGAAGCTAGTTGATGTGGAACGCGAAAGAACAGGGGTAAGATGTCAATTCGGGGTACCATTATTAGTACAATCGTGAGAAGTTACCGATGGATGTCGAAGGATATTGGAAGNGGAAGCAGGATGTGTACGGTGTAGGATTATTTTTTATTGATTTGAGCTGACTATCCTTCGGACTTCACCTTCACGCACAATCCTCAGCTCATCGATTCAACTAGACTCCAGTTTCACTCTTATTGGAATTCATCAGTAGTGCATACCCAACGTCCCGTCCGGGATTTGAACTCCGGACCCATCGCATGGAAGGCGTGTGCGTTACTACTGTGCCAACCATCTCATGCCTTGACTGAACCAAATTGCTAATTCATGTTTGTTCAGGTGTCGTCTTCAGTGATAGTCAGTTCATTTTGGCCCAACAGCAACGAAGGGAGACAGAGATGACATACTGATAATTCCAATCGAAAGCCTCCCACCAAGTCAAGACTCCCTTGCAGGTACGGACTGATTCGCCAACGAATCTACAAGGCTGGATTGATATTTCAGATTTGACTCACAGTTACTCATGAGTAGTGGTGTAGGATGATTTGAAATCATAGACAGATGCATAGAACTCGGGCTAGTAATTGCGGGAATATTCATAGTAAAATATGGTACATTGTGAGGTAAACATCTGTGTATATGAAACTTAAATTCTTCTCTATTCTTCTAAACTTTTAGCTTTGGTGATTTGCAATATTCAAAACGACCCCTACCCGGGAGCAGATCACGAAAGTCCAACCACCATTTCTCCCCAGTCCATGACCGAGTTGAGTAGCCACTTCCCAGAGCGCATTCCAATTCAAAAGGGGTAATCACGGGAACAAGCAGGTCACGGGAATCTAGCAGACTGGATTCGGGACAAGCGATCAGGACGAGTAAGTCTAATTCAGGTAAGTTGGCCAACTTGGCCTGGTTCAATCGCCCGACAACTAAAGTAACGTAGAAACGACCAGCGCGCTGAAGAAGCCGTTCTACTCGATCCACTGCAAGTCGGTAATCACGAACAGACAATGTACCCATCTGGAATGGGTGAAACGGCGAATCACGAGAGAGGGAGGGGGAAGAAAGCCAAAGAAAAAGAGAAATTGGAGTTAGTGAAAATTCGGGACCGGTGCACAGAACGGGGTACAAAAGGGTTCTGTTGTGGAAAGATAGGCCTCGTGGAAAGCAAGTTTAAATCTGGTGACGAATATGGATTATGTGGAACACAATAATTAACCCAATCTAATCTCTCTTTTAAACATGTACGAATATAAGCAACGCGTTTTACATCACAGGTCTATTATCCTTCAGTGATGACCTCGCAAACACCCCGGCATGGTAGGGGGCTGTATAACTAGACGGATTTCTTCGTCCCCAAATGGTCAGGAAATGTCTTCCAATCACTTGCGTTCACAGCTACCGCGGGAGGGGGGACTCACATTCACCACCTTCTTGTGTCGGGAGCGTTTTCAATCAGACAAGATGGTGAAAAGGTAAGATCCGGTGCAAAAACCAGGTTGACAAATCCCTGTAGTTAGTTAGTTTAGAGAAATTAACAAATTCACTCACTATGATCCTATGAATATTGGGCATATGATAACTGACTAGCATAGATCACTGATATGTATGGAGTACCTTCGGTGTGGGAACCAGCTTGAAGGGCGCATGATTATCCGATCGACGGGATATTAGATCCCGGTAAATTGGTAAATCGATGCGTCAACCGACTACCTTATGAGTAGACTATGGTATCGAAGGATCGGGGTCAGATCAAAGTACTAATGTGGACAGAATTATTTTTAACAAATATTCTCCCTATCATGTTTGTTACTGTTTCCTTTTCACTCACTGTACAGTGCCGGTAAATTGGATGTCTCAGAACATTGGATAGTACAAAAAGATGTACGTAGGTGAATCAGAGCAAACATATCACTGACTAGATCTAACAAGTTACACGACACCCATTCCAGAGCAATTACATTCGGTTAACACTGAGCAGGTTCGTTTGAAACGATATCTACCACACAACAGATTTTTCATCATCATGGAATGTGCTCTCTATGGTTACATCTGTATGAAAGAGGTGATTTGCATTAAACAATCAATGGAAAACACATCCACAACCTATCGGAACAAACTATGCACCAAATAGCCATCAAAGAGCAGCCCATCCATTTGATCGTCAGATTCGAAGTTGTGTTGCATGCATGTCAAGTACATGGCTCTTCAGTCTACAGGTCATTATTACAGATGGTGAAACAAAACGATAAACCTACCAGAATCCCAACTCTCTCAGCATCTTTGGCTTTTTCAATTAAATACGACCGACGTCGAAGGAGTAGCTGTATCTGGTTTTGAATCGGATTTACAGCACCAGTCGATGCATCCACCGAGAAAGCCTGACCCAGAGTAACTTCCGGTAAGGAAAGTAGAATACGATAGAGTGTGAAAGCATCTGTGGACTGAGTTCGACAGACCTGACTGCTTCCCAAGTAAACCAAACTCCAAGGTCCCGCAGGAGGTGTTTCTGTTGAATGCGATCGTGACAGATGAAAAGTGCGTCCACCACGCCGTAGGACCGGTTCGGAATGCCACTTCTGTTCAGAGTTCACCTTCGGTGGAAGAGTGACAGCCGGAGGAGTCAAGTCNNNNGCTCAGACCAAATAATTGTAAACACCGGTTTCGGCTGCGTCTGTTCATAGGTAATCAAAGCATCTACAAACGTCACTGCCAAATCGCGGAGACGGAAGTCGTAAGTGATCAGGAGTGGGACGGGGTCGGTGGACTCTTTTGCCTTGGATGAAGTGATGATCTCCACGAGCTGTTTCAATGCTACCTGGAAGGGCTCCGAACCCAGTCCACGCTTGGGCGCGCAGTTTCCAAATACGAAGAGCACCGGAAGCGTGCCAGAAAGTTTAGACAAACACGCTCGACCATAGTGGACGAGAGCGTCAATTTGGAATCGTGTACCAGCAACTTCGTCAACACAGCAACTGGAGCAAAACAAATGAAAAGAACGAGTAATGATAACGTGTCAACAACAAAGGGAGAAAAAACTTGATTCCGGAATACGCTGTCAAGTGCAGTAGGCAGTCCGTTTGCCCAGCTGGAGTCGATAAGAAATCTTACCCAAGTCATCTTTACAGCGTACCAACATGCTAAGCATTACAACGGCATGATTACTTCGTCATGGAATCCAGTTTTGATGCCAACCCAATTGGGAACGTCCGGGAACTGTTAGCTAGTCGAGTCTATCAAAGTGTGGTGAACTGAAGGTTGAATTGAACACATATGGGAAGAAATTGTGAGCACAAAGGTCTGTTAAACGTGGTTCGGGAATTCGTAAAAGCTAAGGAAGGCGCCACAACCCACCGAAGCAAAACAATTGTAATGGTGGTAGTACGCTGTCCCTATATCCATGTGGCGCCGAATTAAAATGTATTTGTGAATAATTTTATACAAACTCAGTTTCAGAATATTTTTGCAGCTGAATGATGAGGGTGTTTACGCTGATCACTGTTCAAAGAATGGACATTGTGTTGTTCTCGATAAGGAAACGGAACCTAAAATTTGAGTGCCGCCCATAATTTAGGCGGACAGTGTATACAGTAGAACAATCATTTGAAGGCTCACGTCCAGCTCCATTGCAGTAACGTATTATCAGTTGCCGACCATTCGTAATTTCGCCTTCTGTAGCCTTCAATTATCTACGCAGTAATAACTAAAAATACTTGACAAATGCAGCTCGCGCCGGAGGCAGTTAAGCCTGGAAGGCATTCAACTCATTTATTTTACGAACTGTGTCCCAGAACTTCCCACTATTCCTAAACAAGCATCAAATCTGTCTTTCGAATCAGTATGATACCTTGTTTCAACCTAGTGCATGCTTTCCCCAGTGCCCAAGTGTGGTGATCCCGAACGATCGACATCTGTCACTTCAGCTCCTTTTCAGAGTCCCGGAAACTGTTGTTGCAAAACACATGCTACTGCAACTGAAAAGCCACAATCTCATGTGTAACTGACAGTATGGGTTTCGCTGAAATAGGTTCTTCGGGAATCTATCGAAGCGCTTCTACTCAGTCTGGTTGCCTGCGAATGACAATCACGGGAGATTGCATTTAATTACTTGAAGGCCTTTCGTCGAGAAGGACACTAAGGGTTGAATGAAAGCTTATTTACATTCGGTTCCCTTGCAGAACGCACAGCATCGAACTACAGAGTTATCAGTAATCACGATCGAGAAATCCTCAACTCGATGGACGAGAGGGAATCAACTGTCATCAATATCTTCAAAAAGGCATGGACAGTAATCACAATAGCGTCACAGATGCTGGTCATTCTTTGAGGATCGTGCATGTGACAGAAGCATACCTACGGGGAGTAGGCCAAGGAAGAACCGAACAAAATTTCACCCTCCGACAGTTGCTACAGCACCGCTGTGCCTATTAAAGACCAACGATCACTATGTTTCAGGCGTCCGCGATGTCTTTGAATCCATCATCGGCATCGGCGGAGCTCTCAGTGAGATAGCTGATGCCGCCCTCCTGGATTGGATCTCAGTCGACAGTAGGTTGTGCGCAGTGAGACTCAGAGATTCGTGCGAGGTAAGCAGCCGTCGCCAC